TCCTGACAACCCATTTAATATTTGTTTAAATTTCACTCCAAAAAAAATAGTATTCATCCTCCGGGAAGAAGTAATGCCGTTACAATATTTAATGGCAATCCATCCAATATATATATGACATAGATTGTTCATTTTTTAAGAAATGGGAAGGATTTGTGTTTGTATACTGTGCAGGACATCAAGTGGCCATACGCTCCATCATTCTTTCTCCCATCTCCTTATATTCCTTATACTTTCTCCCCCTCTGTCCCTCCCACCCATCTGCCCCCCCCCCCCTCTTCTCCGTAGAGCTGTCTCGACTCGGTATGAAGGATTAGAGTAGACAAAGACAGATCCAAGAGCCGACTCTCGCTGAAAACGACAGAAGGAAAGTCTGTTGTTCTCTCAGCAGGAAAATATACTAATGCCTCTCTAAAGTCTATTGTCTATTATAGATTACTAATTTTCCTCTGTCATGCTGAATACAAATAAATAGAAATGATGGTTTACTGTTACGAGATTAACTGTTTAACCACTGCACAAATGAGATGGAGTCAGTGGATAGACTGAGAGCAAATGTGCCCACCAACACTCATAATGATTTAAGGACATACAACAGAATAATCAGCTGAATGTAAACAAGTCATGTTTACCCTATTTACATGGCATGGAGTTCACATGTTGTGACAGTTACAGATCTTCATGTTCTCCTTCGTGCCCACAACATCCCTGGCCCCTGCATAATTCAGGAGTCAACTCTATATGGCTTGTATGTTGCGTGCTGTAGACTCAACCTGCATCATGGACCCAAGATTGCATTGAGTGGGAATATAAGCTCTCTCCATGCTTCTTCTTTCTTCTTGATTTTTTGTTTTATTAGCATCAATATTTCTTGTTTGTGAGTGTCAGTATTCCCTGTGCAATAAGAGGAGGAATCCCAAAGACAGAGCCGTGGAATTGCATGTCTGATAAGTGATTGGAGAGTGAATGAATTATAGCCTGGAGACCTTTAATGAGGCCTCAGTGGGAGGGAGGGTATCACTAGAGAAGGGGGTGGTAGGCAGGTGAAGGCAGCTGCAGCTTCCCCAAAGAGCAACTTCCACCCCCTCTCCTTCTTTCCTTCACTCCTTTTCACGCTTTATTTTTCTTCCACCTTTTTCTACCTTTCTGTCGACCGCCCTCCATGTTTTCTATAGTGCACTTATCCCCTTCTGTTTCCTCAGCACTCCCCCATCCTCATTACAGACGCCTGACACAGCACATGTTCAGTCCTTTGTGTAGCAATGCCCCTTTATTACCGGGTTAAATGACAACAAATCCATATATGGAGCAGAAGTCCATTTGATGACTACAGTGCTTGTGTGCAGAGGTGTGCGGACGAGTGATTACATCTGATTACGAAAAACAAAAGACTTGTGGTTGGGGTTTATTAAAAAGGGTATTTGGAAATGGCTAGATTGGCAAGCATGACAAGCAATGGGAAGCCTGCTACCCCAACACTTCATGCCAATCCGCTCTCTCTCTCGCACGCACGCACGCACGCACGCACACACACACACACACACACACAAACATACACTCACACACACGGACCTCCTGCCAATCTGTCCTTTTTGTGTTGTTCTTCATCTCGGTGTCATGGTGGTGCTTGGCGACTCAGATCGTGAGAGGAATTTTAGACCACACTAAACTTGGTTTGTGTGCATGATACACTTCAGGATATCGGACTGGGTTGCCATAGCAGATTTATTCATCTAAAGCAACTCACAACAAAATACTTTAGAAGGACTGATGATATTTGACGTGACTGACACGCAGACACTTCAGCTTCTCACTGCTCAGTTAGGTTTTAGTTCCTGCACACCCATTTGAGAAAGTTGAATAAGTCTTTTCAGAGCAGCATTTTCCCAGCACTGTCAATGCTTTTAGGTGTGTGTGTGTGTGTGTGTGTGTGTGTGTGTGTGTGTGTGTGTGTGTGTGTGTGTGTGTGTGTGTGGTGTGTGTGTGGTGTGTGTGTGTGTGTGTGTGTGTGTGTGTGTGTGTGTGTGTGTGTGTGTGTGTGTGTGTGTGTGTGTGTGTGTGTGTGTGTGTGTGTGTGTGTGTGTGTGTGTGTGTGTGTGTGTGTGTGTGTGTGTGTGTGTGTGTGTGTGTGTGTGTGTGTGTGTGTGTGTGTGTGTGTGTGTGTGTGTGTGTGTGTGTGTGTGTGTGTGTGTGCTGACAGACATTGAAGTGTGGATAAAGCAAGAGAAGGATGTGATTACTATGCAAATAGCTGTTCCAGGTTGTCTATGAGATGTTGTTAGCTGAAAGTGGAGCCTCTGCGGATCCTCCTCTGAAATCTCCTGCAGGCCTGATTGACAGCTGGATGGCAGCTCTCAAACAGATGTTGCCGCGGCGACTGGGCAAAGAAAACTCTCCGCCAGTGTAGTGTAAAATTAATGAGCTGGTAAAATGAGAGTAACAGACACTGAATGAGACAAAATGAGATGTCGGTGCTGTTCCCTTCCTTGCAGCCAAACATCCGGTCTGCACACCTTTAGGTGCCAGATACCACAAAATAATGAAAATAAACTTGTTCCGCTTTACGTGTGTTACTTTAAAACCCAGGAATGGTGAAAGATGTTATGACATATCGCATTTATGAACATCTATTTATGTTTTCCCTCACCAGTTTGTTTATGAAACCCTCAGCATCATCTTACAAAATGCCTCCCTTTGATCATCATTCATGTTGAAAGTTTGCAGCATTTATTTCCACCGAGAGATAGATCACATGCAAACAGCGCATACGAGTAAATCTGTGTTTGTATATCTGTCATCCTGTCATGAATATAAAAAGAGGGGGCTCACTTTTACATGTGTGTAGGGGGCTGAATTCGTTGGTGGGGAGACCTCTGCGTTAGTGTGTGTGTCAGCGTGGGGGATGGGTCGGAGCTGAGTTTGCGTCTTTGTCTGTCAAATAAATTATTTAAATCCTGTTACAATTAAAGCTGAAATCTGTTATCAGCGTCCTCCATTAGAGGCCGTGTGTCTGCCTTGCTGCCTCAGTATGCTCCTCGCCTGCTCCCCCTGTCTGCTCAGCGTGAAGCCGGATAAAGATCACAAGCTCTGAATCTTAAACACACATCCCAGCAGAACAAAGGCTAACAGCGCGCCTGTGACCCAGGGACTCTCATGCACACACTGAATGTCTTCATCACATGAGTGTGCAAATATTCTGACAGCGCTTTTTCAATAACATTTTACTTGTCTCAAGAGTCATTGTGTGTTTATTTTGCAGGATGTTGACTGAGGTGTAAGATGTGTGATGTGAGAGAGGAGGGTGTGAAGTGTGTACAATCGGGGTTGCCTGTTTTAAACATATGGCAAACACCTTCGTGGTAATGCATGATGGGATATCTGTTAGGGCCCTGATCTCTTTATTCACACCTTGTTCCTCCCTCTTTTAACTTTCACTGCCTCTCTCCTTTCCTCTGTCTCATTATTCTCCCCTTGACAGCCATTCTCTCGCTCTTTCCCTTTTACCTCGTTGCCTCTCCTCTTTCCCTGCATATTTCTTTATCGCTGTAGCAAACTGCCCATTAGTCATCTTAGAAAGCGTGTGTGTGTGTGTGTGTGTGTGTGTGTGTGTGTGTGTGTGTGTGTGTGTGTGTGTGTGTGTGTGTGTGTGTGTGTGTGTGTGTGTGTGTGTGTGTGTGTGTGTGTGTGTGTGTGTGTGTGTGTGTGTGTGTGTGTGTGTGTGTGTGTGTGTGTGTGTGTGTGTGTGTGTGTGTGTGTGTGTGTGTGTGTGTGTGTGTGTGTGTGTGTGTGTGCACTGATGTCAGGGTGTTTCATTTGAATAATATAAGGTATATTAACTTTGGAAAATGTCACTTTGTGAAAGAAGGCTCAGATAATATTTGATCAAACAATCTGTCTGCCTTCAGAAGAAAAACAATTTCCTGCCATCTGCATTATTACAGTAACTGATTTTTTTTTTCTTTCAACACTCTGTCCTTTTGTCAAATATATCACAGTTTTTTATATAGTGGATATTAAATCTATTAATACTTTGAGCTGATCAATGACAAAATAGACGTAGAAATTGGACATCGATCTTTTAGACTCCTTTTTTGTGTACGCTTACAAACAGCCTTGCCAATGGTGTAGTTGTTTGAAACGACAAGCCGCTGATTCAGCAAATGTAAATTAAGTTTGAAGTTTGTTTTGCTGATTGTACTATTTTAGTTTTATGTTTCTCCCTTCTGGTGCAAGGTTGACTTTATTTGTTCTTAGCATTTGGATTGTGTGTGTGTGTGTGTGTGTGTGTGCGTAAGCTTTTGGCTGTAGCAAACGCTCACCGTATGTAAAGATAAAGAAATAGCACTTCAGCAGTATTTTGTATTTATGTATGTGTGTGTGTCCATGTTCATGTTCAGGTTACTTCAGAGAAAGTATGCTAAAACCTTCTAAATAACACTTTAAAACAGTAAGAAAGGGACATACCCCTGTTCATATGCCGCATTCCTGTTTGTGTGTATGTGTGTGTTTGTGTGTGTGCACACAATAGCCCATACATCTCTGTCTCAGATTGGGCCAGCAGTGTGTATCTCCGTTGGGATTCTTGGGTCCAGCTCTGCTGAGAAAGCACACACAGAATGATTTCCTCTTATTTATGCCTATCTTTCTCTTCCTTCCCCCTCTCAATTTATTTCCTGCCTCCTTCCCATTCTGCCTGTGTCACTACTTATTTTACAAGTTACTGACCTTCACTTGTCCTTCATTCCTTGGACACACACACAGATACAGATACACACACCAGACATTTGCTCCAAGGCGTGATTTGTCTAATTGTGTTTGTGTGCTGGAAATAGCCACGTCCCTGTACGCTGGTCATAATTAGCGGGGCTGATGCTCTGAAGCTCTGAGCTGCCGAGACTGCATACAATAATCCTATAAAAATACAAGCACGTCTGCATATCTGAGTGACACTTGAATGAAAATCACACATTTTCTAACTTTTCTTTCCTCTCTGTTCCCAGCGATCTGCTGTCTTCAGGGTACGTGGAGAGGCATTTGTCAGAAAAAGGGAAGACTGTCATCACCAATGTAAGTTCCTCCAAATCATCTCTTCTCACGCTCACTCACTTTTATTATCACTGTTTGCTGTTAGAAAGAAAGCTTAAGGGTTTTTTAAGGTGATGTGGTCTTGACAATCCTATTCAGGCAAGGGGTTCTCATGCAATCGGGATGTTTGTTATGTGGATAAAGATGAGTGCTTTTAAACACTCACTGTGATTACATGCAGAACACATTCAAAAAGCTATCAGCCAAACCACATCTCGATGTCATCTGGATTGAGTTATAGACAAATCTCAGCCAATTCAAGTACAATCTTTGCACTTTGAAAACATTCTTAAAGTTATTGTAATCAATATTTTTACATCAACAATGGATGAAATGTCTGTGTATTCAGCAAAGGCCTTACTTTTTTGATAACCCCTCAGAGAATTCTCTACGGTTCCACCTCAGTTATTCTGAGCATTTTAACATATTTTACGTCATTCTGTTGTTTTTACCACTTTGCAATGGGACTGTTTTGATTCACTCTCACTGCTCTTGGCTGCTTCATTATTGACCCCAGTAGTGAGAGAAAAAGTTTGAATGAACAGACGGCACACGACTTGTTCAGAACGAAACAGCTGCCACATTTGCATATTGAGATTACATCACAACTAGTTGACTTGAGAAAACAAGAACCCTTATTAATATCATGTGTTAATGTAAAACAAGACAGTTAGATGTATCAAGGCAATGTATCAATATACAAAACACATGTTAATACCAGTGTGTAACGTAGCAGAGTTCAGTTTGCTGAGTTTATATATATATAGGATGGATCATGCTGCGATGGCGTTATTTTTACCTGACTCTGAATTCAAAGACACAGCAGAGTAGCTGAATCGGCTCCAAGGACAGTTTTTTTTTCTCAGCAGTTTGTTGTACAGCTGCATTTTGCTGCAGACCCCACAGGCTCTTCCCTCTCAGAGCCTTTTATTGGTTAATCAATGTCTTACTTTGCACACTCAGATAAATCACAGCCCCTCCATTTTTTCTTCAGGTGAAATTTCAGAGGGCCAATGTGTCCTAAACCTTTAATTTACACGAAATTAAGATCCCTGCGATAATCCTCTGAAATCTGGACTTCAGTTACAGGACATCCACTGAGGGTTATATCACATAAGTGGGGGGATTATACTGGTCAGGCTTACTCAGCTAAGCAGCAGATTAGTAAGATATTATATACTTTACTGGAGAATGATCCAAATCCAAAATTACACCACATATTGTGTGATATAGTCACTTGTAATTATGGAACTTATTATAAAGCAATCTCCCTGTTAATTATTTCCGCTTGTAGATGAATATCCAGAATGTACTCACAGTGCAAATTATTTGGTCATGCTTTCCATTTTAGATAGCAAAAAGAACAAGAGGCACTTCTTTATTAATTGCTGCTGTTCAGAAAGGTTAATATGAGACAAGCTGCTGTTTGTTACTCTGCTCACTGTAGAGGTCAAAAGCCAATGTAACACAGTAGACTGACTATATTAATAGTATACACAAGTGGTGAGGCACTTTCTGCCTCATGAACAGCAACATATGATGTCTTTTGTGCCATATCGTTATCTTTTATCTGATAGAGCACATTTTACTGACATTCAGAGGGCAACGTGTCCTACTTGATAACCAACAGACCTACACCTAGTTATTGTGTATGGTGTTGTCCAGATTAGATGATGAATTACTCTAAAATGAGTCTAAGGAGAGCACAGATCAGACCAGTTCAGTAACACACACACACACACACACACACACACACACACACACACATACACATACACATACACATACACATACACATACACATACACATACACGCACACGCACATGCACACACTGAGGATGTACCCACAGCGCTGGGTTTTGGGTGTTTCTCGCTTTGATGAGAAGTGGAGCAGAAGGTTCAGGGCGACAGGGGGAGGAGAGACGCTGGATAGTAGAGCACAGCTCCACTTATAAATAGCCCTCTCTGTCTTTTCAGCTAACACTTGTCTCTTTACCTAACCTCTCCGTCTTCATCTGCAGCTCCATCCAGCCTTATCTACCCAACTTGTACAACTTATTTTGTTGCAGCCCATTTATATGTTCATAAATATGCTCCCTATTTAGCCAATAATGCACCCACTCTTAACTGTGTAAACTGTGCATTGGAGTTATTTTTCCTGTCAGTTCTGGCCATATTGGATGTGGAAAGAGAAATTATAGACTGATATAGTTCAACACAGTCTCACGGCATTTCGTGTTATAGTCACGAAATGAATCTATTGATTCGTGTTCACCAACACGATTTCGCCATTTTTTTCGTGTCACACAGAACGATTTTAAAAGCAATGTAAATAATAACAAATTAGAAGGAAAAAGACATTTAAAAAAATACAGATTTAAGTATTCTGATACAGAACGATTTTAGAAGCAATGTATTTATATTGGTAGTATGTTTCGTGCCTGCACCAAATAATAACAAATGAGAAGGAAAAAAAGATGACATAAAATACAGATTTCAGTATTCTGAGGCTCTGAGCCCCATTTATTTTCCTCACTGACGGCAAAAAGACTCAGACATTATACAATTTAAAATAAAAGGGATAGGGTTAGGCTTAGGGTAAGATATTGAGTAAGAACATGTTTTTATGAACCACACAGCTTCTGGTATTCCAAGACCCGACCGGACAAAAAGACGTGTTGCAGGCACGAAACATACTACCAATAGAAATACATTGCATTTAAAATCGTTCTGTGTGACACGAAAAAAAGGTGAAAATCGTGTTGGTGAACACGAATCAATAGATTAAATTAATTTCGTGACTAATAACACGAAATGCCATGAGACTGGGTTGTATAGTTAGTACTGAGAGAGAGCAGAAGAAGCAAAACACTACAAATGTCCGCATGAATGATGCAATTTCACCAATAATGATAGCAATTTTGGCAGATGAGTTGATCACACACATAACAGTAAGGAAATAAGCGCTATCAGAGTAATTTGGTCACATCTGTGCACATAACTTTGGATTGTTATTCATGGTTTGGGCTAACATGGTCTCTTAGTTCCAAAAAGGAAACTCTCAAAGGAAGATTTTGGCATCTTAGAAAATACACTTATTCTCTCTCTTGCTGATCGTTTGACTGTATGGTTATCAAAAAGCCACAGAGATAGTTAGCTCATTGTAGCATCAAGGCTACACAGGGAAACAGCTGTCCAAAGAAAATCCTCCAACAAGTATCTTTAAAACTTAATAATACGGCCATATCTCCTTTGTTTGATCCACACAAAACACAAAAAAACTGAAAGAAAAACAGAGCAACTTTCTGGAGTTCCCAACCTCTTTGTGAAGACAAAATAATGTATAGTAATAGGGGCTATAGGCACATATTGTTACATTTGGGCAAGCTAGCTGTTTCCCACTTTTTCAAGGATTTGTGCAAAGTTAGCTAACCAGCCGCTGGCCCCAGCTCCAATCTTTACACAAAAACAAGAGAGTTTTGTAAATGTTCTAATCTAGCTGGGCGGTTTTTCAGTGTTTAAAGCGGAAAAGAACTTGGCTGGGACGCTTAGAGCCATGACTTCAAACACCTCCACATTTTTTAGGGTTGAATTGGATCCCGTATGAAAACCGGTCTTATTGCACAACATCATTTATGCTCTTGTGACTGAATGTGACCAAATTCCTGTTCCATAATCTTGTGGCAAGCCACCATCGTAATGCATGTAGTTCAGGTTTTACATACTTTCGAGCATGTAGTTTTAAAAACCACAACAAACGCTTACATGACTCCTCCGATAAACCCCTATACAGGGTCGGATTGGGATGAAGTCCACAGAGAGAGCTGGAGGTAGAAGTGGACGTAGCGGCTGCGTTGCTTTGCAAAGCATCAGACTGTAGCGAAGAAATTGATCCTCTGATAAAAGCTGCGTTTCCTCAGGGAGACCTGCTTCCTGCCTAATGGCTGTTAGGCAGCGAGAAATGGACCAGGAAGAGATGGCCTGCAGAGCACTTAGACACTTAGACATCATACACGTCTATAGAAAATAAAAGTGTGTTTACGCTCGCAGAGAAACACACACACACACACACACGCACACGCACACGCACACACACACACACACACACACACACACACACACACACACACACACACACACACACACACACACACACACACACACACACACACACACACACACACACACACACACACACACACACACACACACACACACACCCAGGAGATAGAGAGCAAAGACAGACAGTATGGGTGGTGAGTTGTGACAGGGATGGAAAAACTTTTACCATTGACTGATGCTGAGGCCTACAATAGTGGGTAGAAGTTTGGAAAGAAGACAGAGCAGTTAACAAACAGATGGTTGGATGTGAATGAGTTCAACTCAAAGTGTTAAGCGTGACACAAACACACAGCACACACACACACATCTACAGCACATACTTGTTAGTGAATGGATTCTGTGTGATTGATCGCTCTGAACTCATTATCTGATGAAAGGTGGTAATAAAAAAAAAAGTGGGACATTTTTCTTTCCGTTTGAGAGAATAAGACATTTGAAGAGGCAACCATGTGTATGATTTTAATCTGTGAGTGTTTGTGTGTTGCTACAGGGAGGAGAACACTGCTACTATCAGGGGAAGGTCAGAGACATTCCTCACTCCTTTGTGGCTGTCTCAACCTGTCACGGTTTGCAGTAAGTACAAATATTATGTGACTTTATATGTGTGCATGTGTGTGTTTCTCAGACAACACTGCTTCCTCTGTGTGTCCAAGTCCTCTGCCTCGCTCCCATGTATCCATTAGGTCAATGTAATTAGTTTGAGCCAGCCTTCCTCTGTGTCTCTGCTGTTTTTGTGACAGGTTATCATTCACACAGACAGGTGCTGCTCAGACGTCTTCTTTTCTCTTTCCTTGCTAGTGTTGGTATTTTTAGAGTTTTTACTCTGAAGCAGAGAGACGGGTCAGAAACAAGGCCTGCAGGGAGGAATGGATGCACACTGTATATGAGTTAGTATGTGTTATAGGGTGTGTGTGCATATATACGAAGAGATGAGAGGCAGGTGTATTGTGTGGTGTTGAATGTCATTGTCTGCGGACAATACAACACTTGCATAAAGAGGCACCTATGAATAATCAGGTATAACATATGCGCATGAATTACAGTTTTTCACAGTTGCTTCCTCACAATTCCTGAAAGCAAACATTATTTTCCCATTACATAAAAAGGAACATTTACACTACTTTGGCTAAACCTCAGACATGTAACCCGCTATGTGATATTTTGTTACCCTTGCTCTTTTTACAATAATTATTAAGGTGTAAAAAGTGATTGCAACATGTAAGAAAGACACATTTATTGTACTATCGCTATCTGTAAGAAAAATATGGAAATCAGTGCTCGAAGAAGCTCCTTGTCAGTTTTATCTACTGCTTATTCACCAGCAATAATCTGTGTTCATGGAGTGTTTCATTATGCTTGATTGACTGAACATTTTCAGATTGCGCAACATTAATTTTCCTAGGAAAATAAAGAGTGTTGAGTGGCAGGCTTTGTAATAGTTTTCCGAGCACATTTAGGGTTTGATGTGAATAGCAATCTAAGCTTTGTAACCCATCACCTCTGCAAAACTATTTCATCTTGTTATCCCTTTTACTTGTTACTGGAAATATTATTCATCCGTCTCGATCCATTATGTCACATCAAAGCTTAATTCAGTCCAATATATTTTCATTCAACATAACATCAGGCTAAATAAACAAAATAATCAGTGCAGAGAAGTAAACGCATGTAATTAATGTAAATGGGTGAAATCAGATTGATGATCGCTGAATAAGCTACACTCGGGTCAGGCTTTTAATAACGTTGCATATTTCATGTGATTGTGGCAACATGTTGGGAAATGTGTCAGCACAGCAAATTAGCGTTGTAGCGTTGCACACAAAGAAAATGCAACGTAGGCTATGAATTAATCAAGTTATGACAAGGTAAATGCGTTGCACATGCAGTACATCATGACATGATGTTACAGACTAAACGGGCTAAATGTTAATGCGTGACTTCTAGTTAGTCCAAATACAACATTAAATGATACAACATTACTGTAGTAATAATACTGCTGTCATGTATAGTATGTATTTGTTATTGTTTGTTGCATTGGTATTAGAAGCTGTAGTATTTCAGTTATAGATTTATTTCAATGAGATCCACAGTTTTGGGTTTTTTATTTCTGATTTTCTTAATGTGGAAATATACGCTGACATTATAAAGGAGACGGAGACACAATCATAGTATGCCCTGCACACACTCGTTTGTGTGTTTGTGTGTGTCCGTGTGTGAGAGAGCCAGTAAAAGGGAGGGAGTTGAGGGAGTGCACAGTGGTGTCGAGGGGTTAGACATTAGAGGCAGAGTATTTCCCTCATGCTGAGTCAGGTATTAACAATAATATACATCCTGCTCTCTCATCTTTCTCTGTCTCTTATACAGTACGGCACACACGCACATGCGCACACACACACACACACACACACACACACACACACACACACACACACACACACACACACACACACACACACACACACACACACACACACACACACACACACACACACACATATACATTTTACCCTGAAATACAATAGGGTATTAACCGTGTAAAGCAGCATAGAGCTCTCAGCAGAGAGTTCATTATTGACGCAGGTTCCTGTTTGGAACATCCTCCATGTGTTTTACATTAGCTACATGAAATGAGAAGAATTAGCAGCCTGAAGTTTACATCATTTCCCAGAAAAGTTTAAATGTTTGCAGATGTTAAAACCGAATTCATCCAGAACAACAACAGGGACCATTTGGGACACTTAAGATGTTGCTACATGTGAAAATTAGGTAGGTTTCAATCCTGATTAAACCAAACAACTATAGTGGAGGATGAACAGCTAAGTTATGAGATGAAACTCTAGGACTTAAACTAATACACATATTTCTTGTTTGATGAGAACCATAATTGTTGCAACTTTGGTATACAAATAATTGGGTCATGTAAAATCCAATCAGATTTGGGAAATGGCTCCTTTAAAGTCCTTTAAAGTTCAGAAAACAGTGGTAGTATTGTAAAATGTGCCCTTACTTTCTCAGCAGAATGACCAGTGTTTGTTTTGGCTTGCCAAGAAATGCATAAAAAACATAGTAAAATCAGCATCTTGTTTCTTTTATTAATAACTACATTCAAACACTTATTTTTCATGTTGCTCAATTCTGATTTGCAGTGACAAACTATATTGAAAGGGTATAAAAAACAACACAGGGAAAATAAACACTAATAATTCAAATACACTTTGACCTGTGTTTCCACTCTGTGTTTAATCTGCTGTAAGTGCAGTGTCGGATCGTTACAGAGAGTGTGTGCTGAAGGTGATTGTGTGTGTTGAAGGCCAGAAAGAGGTAGAGAGAAGGTAGTTGGAAGAGAAAGACAGACGGTTTTTCCCCTCATGGCTGTACAGTTTGACCCGACCAATCTCCTAAAAGCTTCAGATAAAGTTAATTAACGCAGGTGACTTTTATGTTTTGTGCACACGCAGGCGGGCAGAGACAAGAAGACCTTCACCCAGCTGCCTATAGTTGGAAATAGATTTTTGAATTCTTAAATGATTGCTTGTCCTCTTCCTCTCCTACCTTTATGTGATACAAAGAGTTTTTCATGTCAACTCATTAAATGCTTCATTGAGTATCACTAGGACTTTGCACAGATTCTCTGCTGAACCCTTTTAAAAGTGTCAATTACAATTTGTGGTCATTCCGTTTATGCTCTTAGTTATTGCTCCAGAGATGGAATCCTTAGGTGACCTTTAAGTGATGCTGTGTGGGGGGAATATCTGAGCTGACTGGATGACCTTTTGTCTCGCATCACCCTCCACCCCTCCTCAGCCGTACACATGTCAAACAGAGCAGCACAGCAGAGGATTCTGTCCAAAACTGCAACATGTAGGAAGGAGGGCATTGCAGTTATTATTCTGACAAATGTTGCAAAAAAACAACCATGGGCCAAAACTGAAATGGCCAATCTTACACATAACAATGGCTGAAGAAATTCAGATGCATTATTCTTTTTGTGATGAACAAAATAACAGCGGTGTTGACATGTGCTCTCCTCTCTCTCTCTCTTTCAGTGGGATGTTTTTTGACGGCAATCACACCTACATGATCGAACCTGGAGGACAGGGAAGCAGCAATGTGAGTACTCAACACTTAAATGTATGTATGTTTGTACACTGCTGATGTTTTATCAATTCCCCCTTCTTTCATGCTTTCATATCCAGCTAGATTTGTTGTAATTTCTGTGCTCAGATATTGTTACCTCATTTTTCAAGGTTTTGATGGCCTATGTCACATGAAAGCAACATCCCTAGCTTGTATCCAAGTCTCTAAGCTAGGGATAGTAGTATTATCAAAACAAATGTAGTTATCCTTTATTTACGATGTTAAGGCTTGGTAAGGTGGATTGTCAAGTTTGCATCTGCACTCAGACCTTGTGATTGGTGTACTTGTTTTCCTTCCAAGCGCACATTTGTGGATATACTTTATATTCAAATCAAGATTGTCATTGTCAAAATTAGCTGAGCTACGTCACTGTACCTCCTGAGGTACACATACCCCTAACTAGAAATCACTACCCGGTCTATGTCTCTATTATTAGTGGAAAGAATAATTGTCCTGGTATTACAGGATTCATACGGGTCAGTTATTGTCCTGAGAAAAGGTTGAGATCAAATCAGAATCAGTTACAGATGATGGATTTCACTTTTTCTCTGTGAGTGTGACCCTCAGGGCTCGGGACACAAAGATTTGCCTGGTCACAAAGTCTGCAGACGGTAGAAAAGCCTACAGCCAATTAGATAAAAACAATTACAGCCAGGCATTATGGTCTGCATGAATGGGAACATCTGAGATTCTCTAAAGATGCTTTGAGCATGAGGGTGACAGAACAAGCTGCTGATACTGTGCGCGTGCTTCGTTTCTGCTCTAATGAAAACATCCAGAAGAAGTGTGTGTGGTGTTCATCGAAGGGACGAAAGGGAAGAGATAAGAGAGGTCAGGGGTGTGTGTGTGTGTGTGTGTGTGTGTGTGTGTGTGTGTGTGTGGTGTGTGTGTGTGTGGTGTGTGTGTGTGTGTGTGTGTGTGTGTGTGTGTGTGTGTGTGTGTGTGTGTGTGTGTGTGTGTGTGTGTGTGTGTGTGTGTGTGTGTGTGTGTGTGTGTGTGTGTGGTGTGTGTGTGTGTGTGTGTGTGTGTGTGTGTGTGTGTGTGTGTGTGTGTGTGTGTGTGTGTGTGTGTGTGTGTGTGTGTGTGTGTGGAGGTGTGTATGGAGGTGTGTATGTGCACTTTTAGGTGTTGGTAGGGACTGTCTGGCACACAGCTACTTAAGGTTCATTCCCATATGACAGTTCTTAGTGCGAACAGCGTTAAGTGGATAGGAGAGGAGATAAAGACAATGGATGGATGTAGGATCAAACTGTAGGGCTGAACAGAGGAGTGTTAAACTTAGAAGAAAGGGATCAAACAGAAGCAAAAACACAACATTTAATGTTATTAGATTGTCATTGAAAAGAAGAGGAACTAATTGGTTTGTAAGAGCAGTTATTATATGACAATTTACAAAAATAAAATACAGTTTAAGTTAAAGAAATAGAAAATTCCAAATGTGAAACATTTTTAAAACAAGAAAAATAATAATAAACAACAACGCTTTCGCACACTAGGTTTATTTCCTCCCCTCTCCTCCCTTCCACTTCTTCTTCAACTCCCTCTCCTCTCTGCCTCCGTCATTCCTCTCAAGCGTTTTCTGGAGAGACTGAATTATTCAAGCGATGAGAGAGAGAGAGAGATCTTAACTCAAAATATTCTGCAGCCCTCGTCTTCAGAGATATAGTATCTTGGTAGCCTTTTTTGGTCCTTCACACAGGCACAGTGACGCAGAATGCACATCACATTTGGAGGAGATTCTCCACTAGAGTTTAACTGAGGTATTTTTTATAAATGTCAGGACAAATATTTGGCCAATTTACAGCTGCACATCAAATATTAAAAAGTCAACAAGACATCTTGTGGAAGCACATATACAAAGCTAAAAAAGAGAGCATTAGCCGACGGTCATCATGTACTACATTTTAAATGCCCTATAATACCAAAAGCCCTAATTTAAGACTGATCGATTCCTAATTTTCAAGTAACTGGCTTTTTCTCCATGTATAGCCAACTCATTGTTTCTGCATCAATGTTTGAAAGAAAATATTTTGATCATACTCAACATATTTGATACTCCACAGAATATACATTTTATTTGCTCCACTTCAAACAGATACAGTGGTAAAATATGACATACACATTACAGTATTGTTATGAATAGTCCAATAAAAATGCTATACAATAGAAAACACTGACCTGGACACATTTTTCTGGCTGTTTAGTATTTTTCTGTTGATAAGTTGGCACATTCTGCTGATAACAATATACTTACTGAATGCAGGACTTTTTACATTGTTATATCAAAACGTTTGCATTAGTACATACTTGTTCCACCACTGAACATTTGCTCTCCAGGTTGTATAATATGTATAGTTATAATATATAGATTTATGGATCTTTAAAAAAGGAGACTGTGGGAAACTGTAACATGTGGATACAATTAGTTTATCGCAAACGATATAAACAACAATAAGGTATTAAATTCCTCTTATACTTACTCTCATACTAACCTTTCAACTTTTGTATTTCCTGTTACATACTTCTCAGGTAATGTAAATAAATTGTATAAAACATAACTCCATGTACTGCTGGGGAAGTACCGGCTAGTTTTTGGAGACTATTGGGCACGTAGCTCCAGTGCCAATTTTGATTCTGGCATTTTAGGTGTGGGTATCTTGTCTGCATGATAATGCCAGTGAGACAGCGCTGCCCTGAGCCCAGCGGCTGTCAGTTTGTCAGCGCTGAGCTCTGGATGTGTGCTCCCTGCGGGGCTCGGTCCACCCTGACTGTCTCTCCCCCTCTGCGTCTCTGGGCTCCGCTCGGTGTGTCTTTTCTCTCGATTTCAAAAACCTTAGTGCTTCTAGTGTATTCCCATGCATCAACACACACACAGCACATATTTAAGGTATTTCTAAAAGGCAATCTCTACTTCAAAGTCAAAGTCAATTTCAACTTTATTGTCAATCTTCCAGTTTGTGTGGACAGAGAGATCGAAATGCCATTTCCCACAATCCCGAATATAAAAACAAAATGTATATAAAAATATGTGTGCAAATATGTATATATATATATACACAGTCAAAGACACATTTTTACATGTGCACACATTAAGACCTAAATAAAAACACAACAATCAATATATACAAAATAACAGTAACACTCACTGTACTTAAAAGGGTTTCTACTCAGTCATGTTCTTGTTATAACCTGAACAAGTCACTGATCAGTTGTTAAATGCAGAGTCTTTGTGGCCTGTTATGCACCACTAATTCCGTCTGTTAAGATCTAGTTGAAAGTGATGAAAAAGAAAATGGCATGAAGGGGGTTTGAGATAGATGGAAAGTCCGCATGGCTCCTGTCGGCCATATGGTAAATCCATCTGCCCTTCTTCCGCCAAGGCAGAAAAGTTATGCAGGACATTAGCTAAGTGTGTCCTGAACAAGCTGCTCTCCTCACCTCATGCAGCTGAACTAGTTTTAAAGTGTCGTACGGTGTTATGTAAATGATTAGCTTGTAGCAAGAAGACCTAAGTTGTGAGCATCACAGAGCGCCAAAATTAAAGGATGTGATGCAGGCCCTATATGAAGGATTAGTCCTGCACTTCTTGAGTGTGTGAGTGTCCGTGTGAGCGTGTGTGCAGACAAATTGAAGTGAGAATATGTGATGCTGACTTGCATATGCAGAAAACACCATATGTTTAGCCCTCTTGTTTTTTTGGACACCTTTCCAACCCCACCTGCGCCTCAGCGTGCAGCGTCCCAGCAGCTCTTGACTATTCGCTTCAGGAAGTAATAATGCAAAGTATGATGCTTTTGTTTTTCTTCTGTTGACGGTGCAGTATCCATGCGTACACCATGAAGGCCAAAGAACAGGGACACAGCAGTATTTTGATAATATATCATTCCTTATGTCATTTATCAAGCAAAAACACTAACAGCTTGTTCCAAATCTAAGCAGGATTTTGCTTGTGTAGTGTTCACACTGGACATGTTGTTAATGTGCTGTTGATTGACACTTCTCTCCCACAATGCAATTTGCAAAGGGAATGGAGTAGTTGCTCCTAAAAAGTACTTTTCAATACATTTGGGATGGTGGTGAAACAGCTCCAGAATGATCTTAAAAAAACATTTAGTCTGTATTTGTGACGTTTACTTGCAGTCTTTGTTTATTTGGTGCCCAAAACAATATTTTATGATGGTTAGTACGATACAAGGTAGATAATTAGTATGTAGCGGATCTATGAGGCTACTGAGAGGCTACAGCAATACTTTGTGTCGAATGCTAACGTTAGCATGCTTACACACTAACAATGACAATGCTAAAATGCTGATGTTAAGCAGGTTTAATGTACACCACCTTAGTCTGGTCTTCTATCATGCTTGCTTTTTTAAATCAGCAATAAACAAAATACATTTAAGGCTTGTATGTACATGGATTAGACCAAAATGGAATTTCAACCTGACGGGTGTTACCAAAATTATTACAATCTTGGAGCACAATAAATGCTTGTCCGTATATAATCTTTTTTACTGCTTGAAAACTGCTCCTCAAATGGGGAACTTTGCAGCTTTTTCTCTGTTAAATCATATTATATTTAATATCCTTTAATTTTGCGCGGTCATCCCTGCATTTCTGTAAAATATCCCAAAGCAGGGAGGATAAATAGGGAATAGGAGATGGGGGAGGGTGAAGTCAGGGGTGTGTCGATGGGGGTGGTTGCAGGTTGGGGGGGGGGGGGTTGTATTAGGTGCCAAGAGGAGGATTTTGAATATTAGCTCAAGCTGGGAATGAAGCTCATTGTGAGTTGAAGCTGATGGGATTAAATAAAAATGGGGTCTCCCTGTGGCCTGAAGCCAACTTCCTGTTACTAAACCTGGACCAGTTCATTCACACATGCAGACTGAGAGCAGAAATGAAAGCATGTTACCCCTCCCTGCTTTATATTCATGAGCCTGTAGTCTGAGGTACCATCTCCCCTGGCAACCCAGGCTCCGCCCTGTCTCTTTGTGGCAGGACATATGAAAGCCATCTGTGTTTAGTCCTTTAATCTCCATCACTACACACTCCCTGCAGAGTCTATATGCTGTGTGTATGTTTTTTAACTGAGTTGGAAGTGATAATCTGGGGAATAAAGAAAACACTTGCTTTATTTCAACAGTTTATTCAGAAATAACTGCTCCGATTATAATGTAATGTATGTGCTACAACAAATACAAATGCAATACACTTTTGTTAATTATGGTTTTATTAATCATCAGCCACTGAAGCGTCAGCTAACATGAAAGAGTCACATCAACAAGAGTTGGATCCAATTATAAGTGCTGCAGTTTAGTCTGCAGATGCTCCGTCCACCAGGACTACATCAAAGATAAATCAAAACACTGGAGCTTTAAAGCTTCATTTAAAAACATTTTTTTTTTTAAATCACTTTTTCTAATTGCCTCTTGGTAAATATTAAAGTTATCCTAAGGTCCAGAGAGAAACCAGAGAGGAAATAATAGTTCAGGCTAACTCAATGAGGTTATTTTCTCAGAGTTGCTTTAACAGTGCTATATTTGTTAAAGGTGCAATGACCAAGAGCTCAGCGTTTCACCACATTTCAGCCATGTAGGCTAAAATAAAATCTGGACAGGCAAAGCTGTATTGTTGTTGCATTGCCATCTATTAAATTGCACAAGTGATTAGTTAAGCAATTCAACATTTATAACCAATGTATCATTAAGGCAATTTACCAGTGTTATCCTGTTCCAGCTTCTCCAACATAAAGTATGCGGCTTTTCTCAGTTTTCATGCATTTTACATTTAATATATTTGGGTTTTTGCTGGTTGGTGTGACAGTACAAATATTTAGAATGACCCACTTTTTGCTTCAGGGCAATTGTTATTATTTGTATTTAATATGAATGTATGTAAGAGTCCTAGAAAGCTAAATGTAAACTAAGTAAACATGGCCTTGGCTCACTGGTACAGTACAGACTGGCGTATGAACAACTTTAACATCAAGTCATCATGAGGGGATTACAAAGGAAGTATTACATTATGGGGAAACATTTCTGGGAAACCAGAACCCCACAAGCCATTGATTTCCTCAAACAATTTATCAATTAAACTGTGAATGTGGAGACAACCAGCAGATAAGAGACGAGAGTCTTTGCCAGTTTGTAATTCAGTCTGACTGAAATGTTGCTCAGATGGAGAAATGACTTTACATTAACTCTCTCAGTATGAATGAGATTAATTATTGATTGTGAGTATATTTTTATTGCAATTATGCGTATTACGTAATCCTTTATAGCAGTTAGTACGTTTTTTTCTTTTTACCCCAGCAAATAAACAGGCATACATTAATGTTCTTATAAATACAAACGTGTGAGAAACATTTGACCTCAACATTGAAGGATAACATCTTGAACTGTAAAACTCGAAATGTCTCGTAGAAATGTTGATTAGTGCTAATGCAAATCATGGAAAAAAGGTTTATGTAAACTCTATTTAAAATCATCTAAATCACAAGTACTACCACCAATGAACAACACTACACTTCCAGCTTAGTTGGCAAACGTTTTAATCATCAGCGGACATGTTGGGTGCACACAAACAGCGCTCTCGTGCTGTTAACATTACAGTTCAAATGTAATTCCACATTTGTCCATCAAATGTTACTTTGCTAAGACATTTCTTATTGTCATGTTTTTTATTATACATGAGCACTTCGGAAAAGTATGTTACAATAAATGATTAGGTAATATGTTAGAAAAATACTCAAGGCTAAAACAAAGAAAGGTGAACAAAGGCAATGTAAACTGGCACATTATTCACAAAATTAGTGCATAAGAAACTTCAACAGCTGCTCTTCACAGGGAAATGGGACAATATCAACAATTCCTGTTACACAAAAACAAAAGATACAAACAGCTGAGTTAGTTAGTAGTTGTTCCTTCAGGACCACAGGATTTAAAGTTATGTTCAGTAGTGATAACAGACTGTTTTTATACTGTAAGCTTTACATAGGCAAAAGTGACAAGTCATTTCAGTATCAATATAATGTGTCCAACATAAACAAATGTAACAGAAAAATATATTTATGCTGTAAGCTATCGCTTCATTAATGGCAGCCTTAATCAGGGCTTCTTAAATCTAAAAAGACAGTTTGGGAATTTATATTCAACCACAAACTAAATGCTAGTAACTACTAAGTAAGTTGGTCCTTTGGCCACTTAAGCAAGTTAAGAGTAAAAACAGTGGAAGGCTAGTTGGTTGAGGTGTCTTTCTGTATTTTTGGCTGGAAAAACATCAATTTTCTTCCCTTTTCTAGAGTAGTAAGCTGAATCCAGTGTTGCTTGCACTAGTGATTTAGTGATCTCTGTTTGTATGAAATTCCTAGCCTTCATATTAACCCCAGGGTTCTTTTGACTGGGTTTCGTCTTCCACAGCATTATCAGCAAATGACAGACCTGGATGGACTGGCTGTTTCTCAATGTCGAGTGCCGAATGCTGGGCATTTAACATGCATTTAAACAGTCCTTCGGCGCTACTCGATGACGTAGTATACTTGAAATAGTGTCTCTGCAGCAGGTTTACTCGACATTGAGAAACGGCCACTGAGTGTATCACTCTAGGGGCTGCAAATGGCTCCGTATTATTAATTTCCACCCATCATGCTCTATTAGTTTAATCAGTGGTGAACTTCATTGAGTTTCTTAGACAGGAGTCTGACATCATAGCCTCTCTTCTCTTACTGTCACTGTGTCAGCACGGGAATGTCAATCTCTATGGCAGACATCCGTGAGCGGGAGGAGTATCGCTGACCTGCGTAGTTGGATGCGTAGCCCTGAGATGGTGCGTAGCCCTGAGATGGTGCGTAGCTCTGAGATGGTGCGTAGCCCTGAGATGGTGCGTAGCCCTGAGATGGTGCGTAGCCCTGAGATGGTGCGTAACTCTGTGAGGGAGCGTAGCTGTAGGCCTGGTTGCCACCCACCTCTGAGCCATAACCATCAGGAACAGACATCTGAGACATGTACACCTGTGGCGGTACAGGGGCCACCACACTCTGGGCGTAGCCCTGGGAGGTCACATATGGCTGGGAGTCGATCACTGTGGGAGGATAGGCCTGGGGAGGGAAGGGCTGAGGGCCATAAACTGGGGAGGGAGGATATCCGTTGGCAGTGAGAGGCTGGGTGGACAGAGAGGTAGGCATAGAGGGCAGAGGCAACCAGAAGGGTGAAGGCAACTTTTTACACATACAGTACCACATGAACATTAGCAGGGCGGCCAGCATTAGTCCTCCAGAGCAGCCTATAGACACATACACAGCAAAGCCATCGGAAAAAATGTTGTCATATTTGATGTTCATTTCCTTGGTCCGAAAAAGGAACCATACTGAGGGTGCGATGGCAATAGCTCCACCTAAGAACAAAAACGTCCCGGCCACCAGGTGACAGCCTGCATTGTTGACCAGGAATCTGATGGTCTTAATGTCTGGTTCAGGCTTGTCTGAGCAGCAGCAGGTCTTAAACATTCCTGCCATGCACAGCAGCAAGGCCAGAGAGCCAAACATCATGCCCGTAGGAAGACAGAACTGCAGGAGCCGCAGATCCAGCTGGTCCACTTTAGAGTACCACTGGAAAAATTGGGAAGACAAGACATTTGTTAGGGCAATTGAGGACAGAAAAATATAAAAACAAGAAAAACAGAGGAGAGCCCAATTCTCAAAGTAATACCTCTGAATCATAGTAGTAGCATCCAGAATAGCCATCCTGTTTCACACATTTAGCCCACAGCCCATCATACACACTGATATTCTTGGCATTACGATTGAAGGTGACTAGTCTTGTTACACGCCACTGTGGGATTAATGCTGCCACAGCAAGCCCTCCCACACAAACAAAGGCAAGGATGAAGGCAAAAGCGTTGGTGGCGTGGATATCCCGGCACGACATGGTGGTGCTGACAGGAACTGAGGCCACGAGGAGAGTTCCTGTTTGAACAAATAAAGAGAGGATGTCAGAAAGAAGTGGCTGGTCACTGCAGTGGAAATCAACTGGGCCATAATGTGACTAAAGTAAGCCTATTTTCTGGACAAAGAAAAATACATGGTTATAAAAGTTATTCCGAATGGCCCCAATACTATTGAAAAAAGTAAACTGTGCCACATACTGACCTAGCTATGGGCAACCCCCCTGTACTTCTATTCACCACAGTGTAGTTGACCCAATAAATGCTGTCCCCGAGAAACAATGCTCTCATTTCATTAGCAAACAAAGTAAGACTGACTTGGGAGCTGAGCTTGCAGGGCGAGAGTGTCTATACTGCAGTGCATTACATAAACTGTACAGACGGACAATGAGCGACTGAATTAGAAGTGTCTTTCTGTAGCAGCATGCAACACTGACTGACCATGACTGTGTGGAAACTTATATTTAGAAACTATCTTATGCCTTAATATAATACAAACAACTAAATCAGATCACACCCGTCCTTGCCTCTTTCAGTGGTTACCAGTTTGTCACGAAGTTGTCTGAAATGTACTTATTTTATGAATTGTTAGGCCAACACATAGTTAAGTGAAGCCTCAGGCAATGTTTTTCAAGCTATTTTATATTTAGCTTTACAGTCTGCAGCATCCTTTAATGATTATCAAACTGTATCTGTTTTTAAGTTTTTAATGTATCTTTAAATTAAAAAAGCCTATTGTCACATGTTTGTTCTGTTCAGATGTGCTATGTTGTTATTCTATTCTTTATAATTATTATATCAGTTTGTTTTTTTACTGTTTTCACGGAACACGTGAATTACACACTATGTGCTTTTTATAAACAATGCAGTCATCATTACAAAAAGTGGAATCAGCAGTGGTCGATGATGACTGCATCATCATTATGATACACCACCACGTTACAGCTGTGCCTATGACACCTGTTATATTGCATTATAATTTTGTGATTACCGTTACACAATAACTGACTAATACCTGGTGTTTAAGAAGCCATGATCACATGAAGCCTGCCAGATGACGCCTGTCTGAGTAGCTTCAACAGCTAGCTTAGCCACATTTAGGCTGGCTATTTAGCCCGTTGACTGAGGCTAACTGGAAAACACACTTTTATCCTGATCAAAAGCCTCATACGTCAACTGTGTTCATTAAACTGTCAACAACGTTGAATAATGAATAATAAATATGTTTGAATTGGCTGGCTTACCAGCATTTAACCCTGAAGCTAGTTTGTTAAATTAGCTAATTAGCAAGATGGTGGCTAATAAATTAGCTTTACAACAACCTGTTGCGTCTCGAATTCCTCACTGTGAAACTCAGACATGGCTACTACATAAACATAGACCACCATACCTTGTATTTCCAGCAGTGAGGTCGTACTTAGATCGAAGGCAGTCTCATTTCAGCCTGGTCCTCCTCTGACTTTATACAATCAGAACAACCCAGAGTTTTTTTTCACTGAAGTACAGTTGACGAACGTAAACAGGATGTGGGTGTTTCTGCCCTCAGTGTTGTCTCACAGGGGGTTGACGCATGCGCGCAGAGTATTAAATTCACAGGGATCATAAAATAGACATGGAAAATTAGAAGTTCAGACAATAACTAGGAAAGCAAAAATTGCACGCTTGAGGATACATTCATTTTGAAAACAAATTTAACTTAGTAAAACAGATGCCTGAAATGTAAACATTTTTAATGCACAGAGCCACACATTGACAGAGCACAGACAATACAATTGAAGACGTAAAAATGAAAAACATTAAAACTTACTAAGAGAATATTTATGATATAGGTTAGCCACATTACAATAGTCTTTTAAAACACTTATGTGGTTCAGTCTTGTGAGATAGGAAGGGTTGGCCATATTTTATAGGATACATACATTTTTTATGATCCTGAGTGAGTAAATTATCCGTAACTTTTGAGACTTTTGACTTACATATATTCTTTTGACGATTGCCTGTAGGATTTCTGCAGGCTTGATGGATTGACTATGTGCAAGATTTCAATTTGAGAAGTTGCCAGTCCCTCTATACTTTTCTTTTTTATAGCATGATTATAGTAGGTGTGTCTGTCCAAATAATTAACAACCCTGAGTTTGACAGGTGTACTTTATTGTGTGGGCTACAAACTCAGATATTGGCCTGTGAACTGATGAACTTCATTAAACTCAGATTTTCTGTCTTTCAGGGAGATGTCCGCATTCACATGATATATAAATCTGCAGGGCATGAAGGATTTAATGATCTCTTCAATGGTAAGATGATACATTCAGTAATGGAAAGAATTTGATTCATAGTTTCATTAAAAAAATACATTTTCATTTAATTTAATGTTTCTGTTTACTAGGTGATTTTCCAGAGCCGCCTTTTCCCAGCCCCCCATTTCCCGGGTCAAAAGTTGTTCACAGGAGAAAAAAGAGACAGGTACGACTCCTCTGCAGCCATATTTACTGGAAAATTGTCATCATAGCAGATGGGTGCTAATGAGTATATGTTGACGTCACTTTATGGTGTGCATCTGTGAAATGCTCTGAATGCTGTTTGCCCTGATCATCACACTGTTTCCTCGCCGGTATGTTTTATGTAAATTCACAAAGCTAAAACGAGAGCGCTGTTTCCTCATCTCCTCCTACACGACAGCTCTCCACCCTTTCTTCTTTTTCTTCTTCTTTTTCTTGGTCTTCTTCTTCGCTTTTGCCTTCGTCTTCGTCTTCTTCTTCCTCATGAAATATTTACCTTGCAAGTAGAGGCTGCTTGCTCATCTTTTCTCAGACATATGCCTGCAGCTGTTGGTCTCTCAGCTCTCAGAGCTGCTCTCATCTTTATTTGGGTATTTGAAAGACAGACAAACCTGGTTTAGCATTGCAAAGTTCACCTGTTATAAATGACTTTTTTATTTTATTTTCTTGGTGACGCATGAGACAAAAGCTGATCTTTGTGTTTACCGTGTGTGATGTTTTAAAAGTCGTTTGGAGGAAAATGGAGAAACCATGTCTCTCTTTCTGTGTTTATAACTAAAGTAGCAAACTGTGTTTTTCCTCTTAGGCTCCAAGTGTGTCTCACAGTGTAGAAGATGAGACCAAATACGTTGAGTTGATGGTGATCAATGACCATTTAATGGTAAGCAAATATGTTATGGATGTACAATTCTAATTGACTGTAAACTGTGAAATTATTAGTTATAAATAGCTCCAAATACTGCCTTAAATTGTGCATAAAACATCCAAATGCCAAATCCCACTGGGTGTCTGACATTTTTTACAAACAAAAGGTGATATTTGGAGAAAACCGAATCTGCAAACACTGGCTCCTTTTACACATTAAAATGAATTTGTTCCACATTATGAATCCACCATTTCTTCATTTTCTCTTTCCCTCTCTCTGTCTCTCTCTTCAGTACAAGAAGCATCGGCTTTCTGTTGGGCACACGAATAACTATGCTAAGTCAGTGGTCAATATGGCTGACATGGTAAGAATTTTATTGATCTTCTTCCTGAAAGCTTGCCACAAGCACTCCCAGGTATTAGAGCTGAGCGCACATTGCACTGATTTCTCATTTAACCAACCTCACTCCCTACATTCAAAACCTCTCCTGGTCCATAAGATGCTGCGTGTGGCCATTAACCAGCCAGTCATGAGTTTCCAGAGGCCTGAAACAGCAGTGGCATCCCATCAGTACTGAGGCAGATATTTTTACGTTTCATTATTCGTAGCCACATCTGTTTGCTGTGCTGCTGAAATCTGACCTGCCACAGGGTCATGTCTGAAAGCTGATAGGCTCAGGAAAGGTCATGCTTTTTTGTCGTGCCCCTTGAAGAGGATCATATGAAGCTGGCTCTATTTGGGACATATACATTGATTTCCAGGTCAGAGTTTGGTTGCCTTTTATCCCCAGTGTATGATATGATAAATATTACAGCAATTACTTGTAAGACAGAGCTTGTATAAATATACAATGAATGAATCAAAGTAAAATCTTTATAGATTGTATTCAGTAAAACAAGTACTTAGCTTAGTCCTGGAAAAGGAGATGTCACAGTTATGGCCTCTTTCATCCTACTACAGAGGGTCACTGTAGAGTAAACCGTAGTGTAAGAAAGGAGTATCTATAAATGAAAGTGCATGATTGAAATAACTTTTACAAAGCAGCAAAAAGTACGAGATATTTCTCCATTATTTGCAGACTAGCTGGTTAAGGTTGTTTCTAGCTCCAGTTTTTTATGTATTAACTCAACTTTTGATTCACAGAGCTGAGCATCCGGTTGACTGATATATAAATAGTGGTGATCTTTGGAAAAACCCCAGAAAATTGTTTAACAATAATTACCTGAATCTATTTCCTTGCTTTATTCGTAAACTACAAGATAATGCAAGATTTCTGGACATAAGGCCAATCAGCAAAATGGCTTCAACACTGGGTTTTCTTTTTAAAGATCACTGGTTATTTCTTTTCTCACCTGTATTGAAGCAGAGTATACTATATGGCGAGGATGACACTAAATATGCACATACTGAAGTGGAGCTGCTAGGTGAAGTTCTTTCTGCTGGATTGTGATATAACCACGCAAACATCATATATTTCTGATACTTCCTCTGCTCTGTCAGCTCTGTTTTGAGGCGTTCAGCTTAAACAAAGAGGCTTTGCTCTTGTCCTCTTCTCTTCTAGTGTTTGTCTGGCCCCAGTACCCCAATAGATTCCCATCTTATGAGAGCAAACATTATTATTTGCCGGTCCTTCAGACTGTGCCCCGTATTGACTGCGTCTAGCTGCCTGTAGTGTGCTGCTGTCTGGTGGCAGGATCAGACTGATCTCACTGACTGGCTGTAACAACAGACAGCTGGAGATGTTGATGAACATGAAGTCAGTTTTAATATCAATCAGTCATTTCTGTCTTTGCACTTTCAGTTTATAACGATAACTGTCACTGACATTAAATGTCATACTTTTAATTCCCCAGATTTTCAAGGAACAGCTCAATACCCGGATTGTGCTGGTTGCCATGGAAACGTGGTCAGCTGACAATAAATTCAACATCGACGACAACTCGACGGTGACGCTGAAGGAGTTTATGAAGTATCGAAAAGACTTCATCAAGGAGAAATGCGACTCTGTTCACCTCTTCTCGTAAGTCGAAACATCTTAGAAATATGTTCTGGTGCCCTCGGGATATTTTCTTAAATGGATATTTTTATTAAACACATAACTCTCTTTTCTCATCAGAGGGAATCGTTTCCATAGCAACTGGGGGGGAGCTTCCTACATGGGAGGCGTTTGCTCCCTCACTAAAGGAGGGGGGGTCAATGAGGTGAGTCTCAAATGACCAGGAACAGATTTCCAAAATCTCTTAATTCAATTAACTTTTGATTAGATAGAGGATTTAAACCATCATCTTTTCACTGAACACCTCCAGCATGCCCTCTCTTCTTTTCTACAGTAAATGTGAATGCTGTACATTTATTTCTGTTATGTACGGCAGTTTTATTTTACGTGAGGGGAATTTGTCGGCTAGCTCTTTTTGCTGTTAAAAGGAATGATCCTTCTTACTAATTATTCTCATTTTCATTAAAAAACATTTACATTTTTACAGTGGGGTTTTATTTTTGGAGCATCTCTGGATATCTTTGTTGCACACAATATTTTGTTTTAAATACATTTTTGAAACATGCTTAGCCTATAACTAATATTGTTTCTCCTATGATTTTAAATGTGCAGTCCGCCATATTGTGATTGCTATAACATTTTGAATAGTTGTTCGGACCTTTCTTATCACTCTTTTTTTTCAGACTAACCTGATATTCTGTTTATGTTCTGCCTCGCTCTCTGTCTGTCTCTCTTTCTGTCTGCCTCTCTTCATCAGTATGGGAAAGCAGATGAGATGGCCATAACCCTCGCCCAGTCTCTTGGACAGAACATCGGCATCTTCTCTGACAAGAAGAGGATCCTCAATGGTACGAAGTTAATCTTAATGAGTCTTTTAATTATTACTTTTCCAGCACGCATCCTTTTTTTCCAAGATTCCTTTCTAAGCAATACAAATATGTCTTATTCTAGGAGAGTGCAAGTGTGAGGATCGTTGGACGGGCTGTATCATGGATGATGTTGGGTAAGTTACTTTTACAGAACATTTGTGGTTTTAAAGTCATGACTTTAAAACCACAACAGAGAAAGAGTTTGTGTTTGCCCAACAAACGATTTGACGGAAAAGCAACTGGCATACAGTTCGTCCATTTAGATTGGCTTTAGATACATTTTGTTTAGATACAATGCACTTTGGTTTAATGCTAACATCACACTTAACAAAAAAAATGATTTCACATGTATTTACTAAATTCATTTATTTTTTAAATGGATGGCTATTGTCACCAAAGTGTCACATGACATTTGTCCTAAAGGTTTGTAAATAATGTGCGGTCAAAACTCAAATTAATTGTGGACATTTTTTGTTTCCAATTTCAATTTGAATTGCATTTCATTTATCTTGTTATAGTTGAAAGGGATTATGTAAACCAATTAGATTTATTGTATCACAGTTAGCGTAAAGCCACTCTGCAAAAAAGTATATAGAAAATAACATAGACGTCTTAATCTTCATCAAAATATAACATTTCTGGCAGGGTGAACATGCTGATATCAATATTTCCATCCCCTAAAGTGTTATTGTAGTTTGATATTCCACCACTAGGTGTCAGCCTATGTGTATCACCCTTATGACTTGTTTATATAACTTCATGGGGCTTCTTTCAGCAGTAATGTGTTATGTAATCTGTTGCTTGCTAGGATTAGAAATCAGATGATAAATCAGTGTATTTCTTTATTGCATTAATCATGAGTTTGTGTACATCTGTGGTGTTTATACTGACATGTTGCTGTGAGCATTCGGATGTGTGTGTGTGTGTCTGTAAAAGCCTAAGCGTTGTGTGTATGTGTATATATACCCCTCTTCTTAAATACTTCTCGCGTTCCCCCTCTATCCCGAATGGGACAGCAGGTGAGCAGAAGCTTGGCTAAAACGTTGCCTGTGCTGTGCCTTGGAGGGGTTGTCCGTCATCACAACCTTTCCCATCTCATCCAACAGCGCTGCAGCCGCTGTGGCCCCAGCTTCTCTTTCTTTATTCAAATTACATGAACAAATACAGTCTGATGTCCTTTGATTATACTCTGACTGTATTTTTCATATTAATTTTGTACAATTTTACATGTAATTTATGTGTATTCTGCCAAGATTATTTTCTATTAATTATTAAGAGGCACTTCCTCCCTCCTGCCCTTTGAAAGTCAGGACTTCTCATCAGTTCCTTTTGTCCATGTCTAACCGATTGATACAGTCTGCAATGTCATTCTCATCTTAGGCCAATATTTTACTACCTCATTTCCCTGAAACGACAATGCACTCCCCTAACACTCCCTGTCCATGTTCTGCTAGATTGGGTTGCAATAATAAACCTGCTGTAATGTCTTGACAGAGGACAGGTGGCTCTGAGCTCCTATCAGCCAAACACCTGTGAGTGGACCTGGCCCAGATAATCTAAGTCAATGGTATTTCAGACGCTTGTATTCAATGACCTCAGTCATGTCCATTGACGGACCTTTCTTTTATATCCCTCAGCACCTGCATGTCTGATCAACTTAACCTATTACTACTACTAACTGTTCTCCACATTTCTCACAGGGTTTAGTGTGTGTGTGTGTGTGTGTGTGGTGTGTGTGTGTGTGTGTGTGTGTGTGTGTGTGTGTGTGTGTGTGTGTGTGTGTGTGTGTGTGTGTGTGTGTGTGTGTGTGTGTGTGTGTGTGTGTGTGTGTGTGTGTGTGTGTGTGTGTGTGTGTGTGTGTGCTGTAGTGTGTGTGGTGTAGTGTGTGTGTGTCGACATGCATAACGGTCAAGTGAGGATTTAAAATTGTTTTCTATATATTGTTTTTTTTACTTTCTCTTATCTTCTTGTGACAAAATTGATTTTGCCATGAAAAAAATAAGGAATTATTGAGGAAGTCACTTAGAAGAAGGATAGAGGATGTTAGTGAATCCATTTCTGGATATGTGCAAATAATACAATAGTAACTGTGTGTTTTAATCTCCTATATCCTTATTTATTCATATCTTCATACTCCTATAAGGTGTGAAATGAAAAATATGAATAATAATATTAGTCCACAAGCTAACGTTTGTATTTCTCCTGGTGTATCATTGATCAGTGAATCATTCCAGCATGTTCTTCATTTCACTCATTATTACTGTTAAAGCGGATCAACACTACAAGGTTTTGACCAGAAAACGCACTAAAGCAAATTTCTAAATCAAAGATATAAATCTCTGTTATAGTTGGGACAACTTAAAACCATATCAGTTGATTTAATCAACCTGCAATATTGTAGTGTGCTTCATCTGTCATCAAGTTGTCATTACTGGTTTTTAATACAACCATAATCACTGCCGGTGGCTTCATTTAGCCCCATCTCAGATCAAACAATGACGACCTCTCTCTGAGTCTGTCTGTTATTGCATTGTCTCCTGATGAGCCACACTACCAGAAGCTCTCTAGTTAAACATGTGTCAGCAGCGTAAGGAGCTTTAAGTGACCAATGGCGCAGCAGAAGATGACATTTAAGTGCTGCTCAGGTTTGAGTCGATGAATGCAGGGCATCTGATTGGAATAGATTTACTTCAGATGTTGATTGTGCTTCAAGTGAGTGTATCATCCAACAGGATATTATATTTTTACTCAAAGTGAATAGAAGCAATCACTCAGAGCATTTCAGAGTTAAGAGCTTGATTTCTCAGAAGACTAGTGAGAATCTGTTGAATACTGATGTGATCATTTCAGTGTCACATGATAATGCAATAACTGATTTTGTGAATCATCGACCACATTCATCATGCAGGACAAGTTCATAAATGCAACTTAGACCTTATTCACATCCTACATATATCTCCATATGAACTTCACAATCTTAGCTCTACTGTATAACTACCTCCATGTTGTAGTAAGGATCTTCTCTGAACTGTGAGTATGGTCAACACGGGTAAATCCTGAAATATTCATGGTACAGTGTAAGAAACACAAACTTTATTACATATTGACAAACTGCTATGGCACTGTCTGTTGCACTGAAATTAAATGTGCGGTATTAAATGTCAAAACAATATATTTTCTAAGTGTTTTGTCCTGTAATTTGTTTGTGGGGAACAAGCCCCCCTCTCTCTCTCGGTGTTATGTAAAGATGCAGTCTGTAGTGTTTCCACGGTAACTGCATAATGTGCTGCGGTTGTGTTGAACAGATTCTACCTGCCCAAGAGGTTCTCCGACTGCAACGTAGAGGAGTACTATAACTTTCTGAACAGCGGTGGAGGAGCCTGCCTGTTCAACAAACCTCTGAAGGTATGTCACACTCACACATTCACTCATAAACATGTGTCTTCTTAGCAGTGTTGGAATGTAACTAAGTACTGTAATTAAGTATCATTTTAAGTTTTACTTACTAAGTATTTCCATTTAATGCTACTTTACATCCACTACGCCTCAGAGGAACATTTTATTTTTTTTACTGCAGATGTATTTGCTAACTTTAGTTGCACCATGAAGATTCAGATTATTAATACAAAACATAATAAACAAATAATGTATTATGTTATTATACATTCATCTCATCAACTTGTGTAGATCCCTTGGTGAAATTCACAAACTACACATCAGTATGTTGAGAGCAACGAACTCCCCTTTATTCAGCTGCAACATTTAAGTGATGAACACATACTGCATAATTTGTATCTAATAATAATACAAAAATATATTCTATATCTGAAATAGGTAAATGCAGAATGACTCTTTTACCTTTGGGACTATACTGTTGGGTTGTGCTAGTGCTTTTGTACTTTAGTAAGTTTGACTGCTGGATATAACTTGTAAAAGAGTACTTCTGCACCAAGTAAAATATCTGAGTACTATGTGCACCTCTGCTTCTTATCATTTTAAATACAAATGATACTTTCCCCCTCAGCTACTGGACCCTCCTATTTGTGGAAATGGCTTTGTGGAGCCGGGAGAGGAGTGTGACTGTGGCAGCCCGGCGGTAAGTTAAATCACTGAAGACTCTCTCATGCTAATAAAGAGATGTAGTACCCTAAAGGGATAACTTGATAATCATCATAATTGACAGTAGTGGGCTTATTAACCAACAACAAAACCTGCTGTGTCACACTAATAAGAGGTCATTTAAAGCAATGAAATAAAGTCATATGCATGCACACAGTGATAATACCAGAGTATGTCCAGAGAGATGTCTGTTTAAATGATTTAGAGGTCATTATGTGTTACATGAATAACTCAAATCTAATGACGACAACTAAGATCAGTTTCTGCTTGTGTGCTTGTCTTTTAGGAGTGTGCCATAGAGGGGGAGGCCTGCTGTGACAAGTGCACCCTGACCCAAGGCCTCCAAGTGCAGCAACGGACTCTGCTGCAACAGCTGCCAGGTACAGTACAGGCAGGGTTGGGAGGGTTACTTTGTAAATGTAATCAGTTACTGATTACTGAATACATGGCTCTGAAAGTAATCCGAATACAGTTACAGTTGGCAGTGACTTTTGTTCCTCCATGTTTCGTGTTATTGTTTCACTGAGAGGACCCGCGCATTTTTTTTCAAAACGCTCCCTTTTTTGGTCCATCTGCGGCGGTAATAGGTTTTGTGCGCTGTGATGATTCGGCTGTACCTTTAGTAATGAATATTAAATGTTGTGAGGAAATCTTTCCACCAATAATTCCAATAAGTAATCCAAAATGTATTCACTTCAGGTTTACTAAAGTAACTGTAATCAGATTACTAGTTTTTCAAATGTAACGCGAGCTGAATACAGTTACTTGATTTTTGTATTCTGATTACGTAACGCCGTTACATGTATTCCGTTCCAACCCAACCCTGAGTACAGGACACACCTTCACTCTCTACTGGATTGTATTTGGTTAAACAGAGAAAACTATTCATACCACCCCTAAGGATTATGCCTTTTATGTCTTTAAATCCAATTCCACTTGGATTTACTTTCATTTTGAACATCTCTGTTTTAAACATGGCTAACAAAGAACACATCCTTACAGTTACAGTAGAGATGGTAAAATATGTTGAGTCTAGGCTGTCTGCTAAATGATATGTGCTAATGGTTACACAGCATTGTCAAAGTTGGACTAATGGTACTTTGGGATGTCAAGAGGAAAGAGAAAGTTGGTGCAGATGGTTGACATTTCCTGATTGAGCTCCTGTTCCTCTGACACAAAGCCCAATTACGAACACTCACATTCTGTTTGACCTTCATTGTGTGCTGCTGCAGATGGAGTTCGCGGGAGTCGTGTGCAGAGATGCAGTGAACGACTGTGACATCTCAGAACACTGCACAGGCAACTCCAGCCAGGTGAGCCTCCCTCGCAGAGTTTCCTGCAGCTGCAGCTATAAACCTCATCTTCAGAAAATCACAGGATGTGCAAGACTCTTACAGTAAATCACATTGTTCTTTGCTCTCTTCCAGTGTCCAGCTAATGTGCACAAGATGGATGGCTACACGTGTGAAAAGGACCAGGTGAGATATTCAGATACCTTACTTTTAAGAAGTCTTTACTTCTGCACAGGTGATTTTGTTGCTGTATCTATATAGCTTGAGGATACAGCTAAAAAAAAAGAAGAGAAAAATCCCATAATCTTGAAGTATTGATTGTTATAGTATGGGTAAATTCACTAAATGTAAACTGTGACTCAAGGTTTGAAACTATATTTCTCTCTCCAGGGTCGCTGCTTCAATGGAAGATGCAAAACCAAAGACAGACAGTGCAAGTACATCTGGGGAGAGAGTAAGTGTGATATTCCTTTGTGCACATTTATTTGGTATTGACAAATCTGCAAAGACCATGTGCATCTCTGGTTGAGATGAACTCCTAAATCTGTTGATGTTAATGCTCACTGTGTGTGTCTCCCCCAGAGGCAACAGCGGCCGATAAGTTCTGTTACGAGAAGCTGAACATCGAGGGGACAGAGAAGGGAAACTGTGGGAAGGACAAGGACACCTGGATCCAGTGTAACAAACAGTGAGCGAGACCTTCTGTGACTGAACCCTGTGCACTTCTGTTAACGTCCTATTTTTGCTCTCCATAATGTTTGGTTGCATCTTTGTGTTTCAGGGATGTTCATTGTGGGTATCTGCTGTGCTCCAACATCTCCCCCTCCCCGCGACTTGGAGAGATGCAGGGAGGACTCACCTCCTTCTCAGTGGCCCGGCACAGTGCTTCTCTTGAACTGCAGGTACACGTCATTGAAATACATCCTGAAATATACAAAGTCAGTATCTTTTTCTCTGGAGTAGTTTGGTTCCCTCGTTCTGTATTTCTAGCTGTTAAAACGAGAAGGCACCGCTGAAAGGCAACTTTTACTAGTCAACTCATTTTAAGATTGGAAGGAGATATTTTACTTTGCTGTGAGTGTTTTATCACGTTAAATGCTTTGTGAGTGACTCATGTTTGTTGTTCAGCGGGGCTCACGTGGTGATCGACGGAGACACTGACCTAGGATACGTCGAGGACGGGACGGCCTGTGGGACCGACCGCATCTGCTTCAATCACAAATGTATCCAGATCCAACAGTTCAACTTCAGCACCTGTCCCGGGTCCACTGACAAGATGGTCTGCTCCGGACACGGGGTAAACACACAAATACACACATACACGAGGGGAACAAACATATCATAACAAACAACTGTGCGACCATTTCAGCCACTCAGCTCAGCCCCAGAGTGTTGTGTGTAAGTCGGATATGTAGTTTTTTTATTTAGCGTAAAGAAGCTCCAAATAGTTAATACGGTTATTTAGGTCAGTGTTAAGAATGCAATCGGATCAATTCAACAACAGGTTCTGACATAAAGTTGAGAAACAACCTTTATATAATGTAATGTCTTATTTGCTTGAATGAGCTTGCTAACAATAATGTTACTTAATAAATATACAGGTTACACATTTCAAAACATCAGCATTACTCCCTGAAACCATAAACTACACTCGGCCTTTTGAATACCATATCAACACATTATGTTATATATGGGCAGGATGTGGGGCGACATTTTTAATTGCACACTTATTTTGGTGTCACAGCACCTTTCTCTGATCAGGTGTATCCTTTTGTTCATGAATATTTTTGCATTATAAGCATACACACTTTGTTAATAATTATTTTATCAAAACATGCCACACAACAGTCTTTCCAAAACATATATCGTGCTAATCCCTGCTATTTAGCACAACATGTACTGTGGGAGTTCAGAATGCAGGTTTTTGAATACTCTCTTTGTTACTGTAGGTGTGCAGCAGTGAGCTGAAGTGTGTGTGTAACCTGGGCTGGGGCGGGGGAGGACTGTAACTCCCACGTCTCCTCTCAGCTATCCCGTGGCTTCAGAGGCCGCCTCAGATTCCGGTGAGAGATGTTAACCCTCTACACTATTCGATGCCTCTCTCCTAACCTGTTTTCAGCTCACATTATCTGCACCTTTCTTTCATTCTTCTCTACTTTTCTACACATCTAAACTCTTTCTAGCCACCTTTCACTCACTTAAAATCCCATTCACAAATATTAATTTGAAGCTTTTCTTTCTTTTTGTTGTTTTAGCCTCTGTGCTGGGTTTCATGTCTGCTCATTAAAACCAGCTGCATTTGTATTCACTGAACCATGCATGTCATTCTTTTTTTTTGTCATTCTTTTCACACTCATTCTTTGTCGACAGGCTGATGTCTTTGACGGAGTGACTTGAGGTCAGATTTGAGTTCCTTTTCATTGTATTTGTCCTGTCTTTGATGTCATTTCCTGGTCCTCTTCCTCTCTCACCCCACCTTCAGCTTCACCTTCGTCCACTAATTCTAACCTTCATTCAGTTAAAAACAAGCAGTTTGTAATGTTGTCCTGAATGGGAACCTACTGTACTGTAGGTTCCCCTCAGAGTAGTGCTAAAGTCTGACAGCAGTTTGGTTGTTCTCGGTTTGTCCCCCCTGTTCTCCTTTGACACTTCTCCTGCTAAGTGTACTGTGTTTTTGTGTTCTGCTGCAGTGGTTTGTGGTTAATGTATCCCCTTGTGTCCCACACTATTCAGGAAACAAACACATCCAATTAACACACCCTCCTCCTCCCCACTGTCCTCTCTCCCTCTGTCTTAGGTTACACCAGTGCCAACATCATCATCGGGGCCATCGCAGGCTCCATCCTCTTCCTCGCCCTCATCCTGGCTGCTACAGCCTGGGGTTACAAGTGAGTCCCCCAGCCTGCACTAGTGATGCTTTATGGATCCCAAACTGTTGATCAGGACCCCAAATAGGCATCACAGGGAGAATTCTAGGTTATAACTTGTTATATCATTAACAAGAAAGGAAGGAGAAAAAGCATAATTCTGCTACACAAGATTATGTTTGCTATATTTTTATTTATTTTTGACTTATGGAATAAACTTAAACCTTAAGGGCTTCCAATAATCATTAAACAAAGCTAGCAACAATTGACAATGGAAATGGCTTTGTATTGGGGGTCCTGAGTCAATAAGACTGGGAGAAGCTGCTATATAATATGCAATTTAACCATTTAACCAAATATATTCTATTGTTTTTTGACTGAGAATCATCCCTACTCCTCACAGGAGCTACAAGCAGAGACGCTATGAAGAATCTGAAGTTCACCGAAGATTCTGCCGGTTTGCTTAATTTTAACTTTTTTTTTTAAATGTGCTGCATTTGAGTTTAATATACATGACGATTACAAGTTTTGAGAGCAAGTGTCCTGCAAATAATGTATTTTCTATACACAAAAAAAGCTAATGTTGTTTTTGTTTCCAACAGTGGTTTACATTTGTTGTCTTATGGTTAACACAATTAAATGTATATTCATTATACTAATCCAGTTGTGGCACATACTACTAGAAACATTTATTATATGGCAAGTTGGAGGATTTAAAAAAATACAGCTCAAAGCAAGAACAAACAATTATTTTATTTGTCTTTGTTGATCATCACAGATTTATAAAAAATAACTACAGTATGAAGGGGTGATTACTTCTGGGATTTCATATCTAAAAGCATTCTTCTGTATTTCCAGGCAAATGCCCCCAGGTGACTATGTAACAAAGCCTGGGGATGCAGACTCATTTTACAGTGACATGCCTCCGGGGGTCAGCACTAACTCCGGCTGCAGCTCCAAGAAGAGGTCAGCCTGCCGTCAGATTTGCTCCCTGTCCTTCACTCCCTCCATCCCATCCATTTCTCAGAACATCTCAGTGTTTGGCTTCAGGTGTGCCATCTCATCATCACTCATTCATTTGCTGGCAATGTGTGTGTGTGTGTTGGGACACTGGTTTGTTTATATCATGCTTTGTTACTATCATGGCTTTCATACTGTGTCTCATTCTGCGCACATTTTGACTTTGAATCAAAATGTTTTCAAAAACGATGCACATTTTGCTAATGGAGAGTCAAGCAGAACAAATCTTGCTACTACATTTCTCATATCATGTCACTTTCAGCTGCCATGATATCGTTTCCCGGCTCATAATGTTGCCATCTGCTGCGATGGTGTCTTCATATTCAGCTTGTCCGTCTTCTCCACTAATGCAACCAGAGCAGAAGCGTTACATGATTTGTTGCAGCTTAGAAGGACGATGATGATCTGATAATATTCCCCCGCTGTGTGTGTGTGAGTAGATCTAATGGCCTATCACACTCGTGAGCGAGAGAATCCCAGATGCCAAACACATCTCTGACATCTGTGAAAATGGGCGACCGAGAAGCAACTCATGGCAAGGTAATGCACAATCCCCACTCATATAGTTTCCTTCAGGGAGAGAAAACCCTTAACCTCTGCTGCACTTTTGTTTTGGTATTTAGTATTCAGATTTTTAAATGAACACTTTAAGATGTGGGCTTTAGATGTAGCAATTTTGAGCAAGAAAATTGCTCTTTATGGGTTTTTTTATTTGTCGTATTGTGTATCGAATGCATATACTGTTTGTGTCTGTATGAGATGAGTTTGGCGGCAAATTTGTTTTTCATTAGGGATTGATCAAGTTTACTATCTAAAACTAATATGAATACCTAACATCATACCTCAAAAAGAGAAAATGTGTGATAAAGTCTTCATCATTTGAGGGAACTTTCTCTACAACTAATACAACTAGGAAACAAACACATCACAGCCCTTCTCAGGGTTCTAATTGTTCTCTCCTGCAATAAACATCGCCCCCAGTAAAACATGTTGCAGGTAATTGTAGATACTTGTATTTAAAGAGTGTGTTTATGTTTTGTTTCTTTTCAGGAAATCTGAGTGGGAATCGTAAGAAACTGAAAGGAAAGAAGTTCCGTGCTCGCTCCAACTCCACAGAGTAAGTCCCGGCATTTTGTGAGTTTGTTGAACATTGTACATAGGATGTACAAAAACCCATAAGCTCTGGTTAAAGTACTATATCTATGGATAACCATTTACAAAAATCCCCAAAAATATATCGTCGTCAGGCTCTGAACAAATACTAAATACCTTGTCCCACTGGTTCCTACTTAAGAATGTAAATCATCAATCATTTAAAATTGTAAACAAAAAGAGGCAAAATTATCTCGATGGAAACAACTAGTCCCCAAAAGGTGGGTTAATAAATGTATGTATCAGATTACAAAATCACCTTATATGACTTAAAGGGCTCCGTACAAAACAGCTGTGTACTGTGGTTTATGCAAATGTTTGTCAAAACGGGAGTAAATAGCGTAGTTATTTTAAAATATTTTAAAATATTTAAATATATTAAATAGATATAGAAATACAGTGTTTGGTACGCTCGAGAGTACTTACAGCCTTGACAGGAATGAAACAGTGTCTGTGTTCATCCAGGACAGTATGTTCTATTGACCCCAGTTGTTAGCTGTTACCGTGCATTAGGATCAATGTAATACATGTCATTAGATTTGTTGACAATAAGAACATTTCAAATCTTACTGTCCTTATCAGTAGGTAAGTTGTATTGTGGCTGCAAAAAGATTACAACTCTTTATGCTTCCCTTCAAATGTTCTTCAAACAGAGGTATCGATTATGTTGCATTGAGCGCTGAAGGCTAGTCAAAGGATTGTATGATCACATCGTCTCTAGCAGTGTAAACTCGCTGCTCTTGTGAGGCTGTACCACCCCTCTAAATCTTTACTCACCTTACCTGTGAACGAGTGTTTTCATTATGCCTGTTGACTGTGGATGAACGTTATGCATTGGCTGCTTCCCAGCCTGCTGCGTTAGTGCTTCTGTTCTCATTGCCAGCATGAGACTGACTGCTAACTGCTTGGAATGAAATGTAACCAAATATGCAACTGAGCCTGTGACACACCACACAGTTGTTTGTGATTTCCATGGTGCCGTTTCCATCAGAAACCACACCAGGTCTGTCCGTCATCTTCTCACCATTTTCTCAACTGCATCTTGGTGTTTGTTTCAGGATATCTTTGCTCTGCTCTGCTTTCTTAAATATGTCCTCTTCCTCTCTCCTGCCCTCCACACTTGCTTATTTTTCTGTCCTTTTCAATTATATTCCCTTCCTTCCTTTTCTCTCTCTTCTCCCCTCCTTGTGTTGTGACCATCAACCCCCCCCACCCCCTCCCCCTCCCACAGGTATTTAACCCCTCGCTGCAAAGAGTTTTATGATGTAACTAAATGGGTAGAAGAATGTGAATAAAAACAACTCAAGGACCCTACCTTAGTATAACTTCAGGATATGCCCCGTACCCTTCATGCTGTCTTAAGACCCCTCACTTTTGGTTTGATTTGTGGCTTGGATCAAGAAAATGAACAATTACTGTAGGTCGAATCTGGACATTTTAAAGTAAAATCTCAAAGATTGAAGCAGGCATGTTCGACTTGCTGTTCCTAAAAGGGGTATTAAACTATTTTGTTTACTTTCCTTTTAGTTTGAGTGAAGACATTCCTTCTTTTTTGATCAGCTGCACTTTACCTTGCAGATTTTTATTTTCAGCAAATCATTCTGCAGAAAAGAAAATGGCTCTGAGACTGCCTGTGCAAGAGAAACAATTATAATAAAGTCATTCATTATTCTTAATTTTCTCCGTATTCCCTTCTCCCACTCAGTCCCTTGCTGCATGTTTGTGTGTTGTTCTGTCAGTAAGTGTCTGTGTGGTGACCTCACGTGCACTCCCAGTGACCTCACGTGCACTCCCAGTGACCTCACGTGCACATCCCAGTGACCTCACGTGCCTTCAGTGTGATGTCGCTCCAGAGCCAAACAAATGTTGGTCCGTGTTGACGTCTTCACTGGAGCTGCTGTGACAAACTATAGTCCGCCACTCTGATCGTGTCAGAGTCTATAGCTTTCTATAGCTCCCTTGTTGTTTTCAAGGAAACGTTGTAATCAAGCCACAACGTTTCCTTGAAACAAGAAGGAAGCTCTGGCCCTGGCACTGTAGAGTTTCACCGTTTGTTTTCTACTTCCAGCTAAAGTAACACAATCCATCAGCACCGTAATAGACCTTGTCCAGGAGCAAAACCCCTCTGCCTGCTTTCACATTTGATGAAGGACAGAAACAGTCCATAGGATTGAAGACATTTTACATCAAGGAGCTTTGATTCTTGAAGTAAAGCGAAACACACATTTTTCAGACTGATTCACTGATTATTTTCAGAACTTAAGGGGACCTATCATGCAAAATGCACTTTTGTACGTCTTTTATACATGAATATGTGTCCCCGGTGTTCCAGGGAACTCACCAAGTGTCAGAAAACACAACCCTCTCTATTTTCCCCTCCATACCCAAATCTCTAAAAAAAGGGGCTGCAACGGATCTGATAAAAACTGATCCAGATTTGAACACTGTACTGACGTCAGGACAGTGGCGCTACGGCTATTGGGCCAACTCCACCAATCAGGAGGAGACAGCCACGGCCATTGCCGTTCGAAAGCGCTGGAGACGCTGTAGTACATATGCCAGGCCTGTAGATGGTGCTGTTCTCACAGAATCTGCCCTTGCAAAAACAGAGCTAAAAAATGTCAAATTGAGCAAAATGAGGCATGGCTGAAATGCATGATCTGTTTTGGTATTTTGAGAAAAGAAAAAGTATAAATATGCCTTATATAGGTATGGTCCTACACTATATTATTCAAATATAGCATGATAGGTCCACTTTAAAATCAGCTCAAAGCAACAACAAAAAAATAGCAGCTGCTTGGGAGAAACATCTCTGTTGAATCAAGAGAAGTCACAGGCACCACATGGGGCAGGTTCACTGGACAGGAGCTCCCCCCTGACTCTCTGTTTCTCACCCAGCACCGTCTGGTCTGTCGTCCCAGTCCCCTCATCATACTCACTGCTCCCAGCATTCCTCATTTAAACACTGATCCTACATTTTTACAAATACACACTGGTTCAATAGAAGTATCTTAAGGTGAATTCCTCCAAATCCTGGCATGATGTGTCCGGTGCCTTATGATGAAGAAAGGGTAATGCTGTGGCAGGTGAAAGCATGTGAGTTGCAGGAAACTAGGACTAATGCCCACCACCGCTGCTGGGAACCATGAACTGTGAACAGAGGTTGCCCCTAAAAGCTGAGCTATGTTTTTTAAAAAGATGACATGATCTGTCTGTCTCTGTGCTTTTGGGGAGCAGCAGTGAAAGCTTTTAAGACCAACCTCTCTCCAAAAGAAGGTGAAAACTAGAGCAGCTGAAGGAGGATGTTGCCCAAAGCCACAGATCTAACATTAGCTCCTGAATCTCGCCTCATTTATCCATCTGTGTCTTTGGCCAACTTAATCCTAAACCACCAGAACATATAAGAGGCCTTTATTAATATGTCACTTCCTCTTTTCCTCAGGGACGCTGTCCCCTGCCAAGTCTCCCACTTCCTCTACAGGATCTATTGCATCCAGCAGGAGATACCCTTACCCCATGCCCCCCCTCCCCGATGACCAGAGGAAACCAACGCAGAGTGCCAGGGCAAGTGTCAATCATTACACATGACATCATTTAAAGAAAGAAAACATACGTAAACACAATCCCTGTCAGATACCTTCAGATTAACTCGTGGTATTTGTTACATTATATCATGAATGCTCAAAATAAGACCAGCGTTATTCTTTTGGACCAATTCCATGTAAATAGGGAGTGAAGTGACTATTGGTGAACACATGTTAATGTCTTCTTCTTTCTGTCTTCCCCATCCCTCCTCTCTTTCCTGTGCTTTTCCCCTTTATCTCCTCAGCTGTGGGAGACATCGATATAACCGCCTTCTTATCCGCTCTGCAAAAGATCTCAAGGAATTACACTTGTGTCTCCTTTTCTATGAATGAAAAACACAAAAACGAAACAAAATTGACTCTAATCGATTTAAGAGAAATGGAGAGAAAGCCCCCCCGCTGGAGTGGAAATAGGCAAAGGGTGTGTGTGAGTGAGTGTGTACAAGCATCTCCGAGGCTTTTCTTGCCACACGGCGTCATTCAGCGGGTGACCATGCGGATTGCCGGCGGAGAAACCAGCTCCACATCCACTCCAGATCAGCTGGAGCTCAGACTGAGCTGTTCCTGTCTGCTCAGGCCTCATTTATGGGGCTGGAAACCCCCCCCCCCCCCACACCCAAACCCCCAACCTTACCTTACACCTCACACTACACCTCACACAACCTCTTTACATCCCCTCTCGTCATACCCACTTCAACGCCACTTCCCCGTGTTTTGAGCTGCTCTCTAAAAGGAGCAGTGGAGCCAGGAGCAGGTCATCGTATCACTCTGCACCTCTGGATCATTCTGACGCACGTGAATCACTGTAGAAACTCCAACACTGTATGCATGAGACAACCCTGTTTATTACAACCTCCTCCTACTGAAGAGACGAGAAGAACCCAAGTCTGATCTGAGAGGAAAGCATGCGAGGGGGCAGTGATTTTAATACTTTCTGTAGGCTTAGGCACTTTCTCTCCACTATAGGTAACCCATATAGTATCACCAGTTATAGCCCATAACCCCCTGACCCCACCCTGCTCCTCCTGCCCCTCGGTTTGTTTGTGCTGTGTACATAATGTACAGTGGAAATACACACAGAGTATGTTTTTTGCTTTTATTTATTGTCTCTTCCTGCTGTATTGTGTTGTAGACAGAAGCGGATTCTCTGTAGAAAAGCGTAAGACAACCCCCGCGCTCGTTCTTCTGTCTGTGTTTCTATTTTTCGTCCTCTTATTTTTCACTCCTCTGGCTTTTTTCTGTGTGATTGTGGCCTCTATAGCTTTTCTCCATCCACAGCAGAATGTAAAGGTGTTTTTTTATATTATCTTAGCACTGGTTTTTATTCATCTCTGGGAGAAATACACAAACATCCAGTAATAACTGAGGATTATTGGAGTGGATTGTGGCACATTAAGAGTGTTGATGAGTATTATTTATTATTCAATAGTTTTATGTGCCATTCCTGAGTGAAATGAATGGGATGTGTTTGGTGTAGTTATAGGCGTGCCAATTTTCACTCATTTTTGGAAATTCACCATTGATAATGTTAAGATGTGTTTAGTTCCCTAAATTCTACATTTGGAGGTTTTTGAGGCCAACGTGCTCCTTTTTCTACAATAGGCAGCACACGAGGTGGCTCAGATGAGATGTGAGAATAACATGATGAGTGCGGATGATGACCTGATTAGGACAAGGAATCTGGAAACTGTGATTGAAATGTGCATTTTGGATTTAGCTGTATTGATTGAGATATTTAGCCTTGTAAATGATTAACTATGCTGTACAGTGCTTGCTGTTTGAGCTTGTGAAGACCGACAGCATGACAGTTCTATAATCAAATTAAGTTATTTCTCTGGTAGGCTATTTGTGAGACCATAACGGTAAACAAGCATGTCACTGAAGGACTTTGTTTTCCATCATTGCCTTTTTGCTGTTGTCCAAATGGGTTTTCGTACTGTAAGCAAATTCAGCACAATTCATGGCAGAAAGTCGCAGGGTCTAAAAATGATTGAGAATGGAGGACACAGTTTATGTGCTGATTTAACGCCAGTGCAGCTATTTAAGGTGGACTTTGGAAATGTATCACTCCCCAAAAGCAAGTTCTTTGTACAGTTACGACTCATTGTTCTACCTTGTGTAGAAATTGTCGTCTCAAGGCCTCCTGTTCGTCATTTTACCGTCGTTAGTTTTTGTTCAGGTGTGGGCACTTGTTCATTTGTAATTCATGTATGCATTAGGACTGTATAGGTTAAACGATCTTCACAATATTGGACTAATATTGCTACTAGTATCTTTTTTATTAAGTACCTTTGTAATTTTCACTTTTTTCTCAGCGTTATGTACAGCAACGATTCAAACTGTTATTAAGTGCATTATTGTAATTATGCGTGTTGATGAGTTTGAATGGAGAGTTTTTCATTTTAAACACATTTGTCCCGGGGCCAATAGAAGCGGCAGTTCCTCTGGCATGTGCTCATCTGTACCATATAAGGTTTGGACACACATAATGATGTAAGTGAAGTCTGTATGGGCTCAGGATTTGCCTTTTACCTGAGCTTTCTTGTCTTTGCTCTGGTCTTCTTAAAGTGTGTGTAAGTGTCCCAGGGCTAGAGAGCCTTATCTCAGAGCTCTTGAGAAACATTTGTACCATCATACTGTGCTACAGCGAGACATCTGTCCTGTTGGTATGTACGGTGCACTGTGCTACTCTGAGGACTCTCCGCTCAGGATGGGACCACGCAGGCTGCCGTGATTTCTGTCAAATGTCCAAACCAGGACGACTCTGGCAAAACGTCTCCTCTTGAATGTATTCATGCACCGCCCAGCCTCCACCATGTGGTCCCATCCTGCCCGACACATCAGCAGGAACCTTGAAGGCCCCCCCCCCCCCCCCCCCCCACCCCCCCCCCCCCCCCCCCCCCCCCCACCACCTGTACTAGTTTAAATATAAATACTGCAGTTGCTGTGTTTTATTTCACCCCCTTTTTTTTCTTTTTGCCTGTATGCTGTACAGACTTATGATGCAAAACTCAATCCTCATATTTTTTTCCTCTTAATTATTCTATATTATTGTAATATATTTAATATAAAATAAAACTTTCATCAACACATCTGTCTATGTGGATATTTCTAACTTCAGACTGTACTTCTTGTATCAAAAAACTTGCTTTATTAATTCATTTGTATTACACAATATAACGGGATGCACTGATCCAATGACGGCCAGACGTGACTGATCCACTGCTTTAGCTAACTAAGGTTCAGCGTTCCTCTCTTCCTAACATTCATTCAGATAAAGCAGGTTAAGATTTGACGCCCACAATAACACCCGGGCTCTTGTTAACCCTTACAGTTCAAATATTTTAAACTTGGGAGGGAAAAGGAGAGCTCTCGTATCGGATACATACTCTGTTTTGGAAGATACCCATGGTCGAGGTTTGTGGATCAGTAATGAAGAAAAAGTTGGATCAGTGCATCCCCACGACACAAAAAATAAATACAAACTTGATCTTCGTGAACAATCTGATGAAATATAATTAAATGTATCTGGCTCAAAACATAGTGAAGCTTTTGCATTTGCTTGGTCGACATTCTTTAAATGGGTAAGTCTGTAAATCTGTTGCAATCGTTACTCAATAAAGAGGGACCATGTTGACTGAGGTTTAGATTTTGATAACCTTCGACCCACAAGCAAATATTCAAAGCACAGGTCAACCCTTTGAGCCACATTGGATGTTTTGACTTCCAGGGACAGTTCTGCCGCATTTTCTGTTTCCACAGGGCTTTCTCAGGAGACACCAGTTCCCCTGGCTTTAAGCTTTATGTGGTTTGAAACTTTTTTGGAAGCAACCCATCCGTCATTGTCCAGCAGAAATGTTGCCCAAGTTCTTTATATAGACGTGTGTGAGTTGTGCTTCAGTGTCTGCAGTGTCTGCAGTCTCTGCTGAAGGACCTCTTTATTTTCCATTGCAGCGTCTTCATCGAGGGATTCCCGAATGCAACTTTTCAAATGGTCGATACCGGACCCCGTGAGGGCCGAGACAGGAACCACGTGTCTGAAGGTCATGTAGTTCTTCGGTATCATGTCATCATCAAGCAGATGAGAGAACTCTAAAGGAAGGAGAGATAACATCATTAATATTCACTTCATTTTAGGGCTGCTACCATGTTTATTTTCTTTATCAAAAACCCAAAGATATCTGATTACACTTCTTATAAAAAAGAAAAACCGAGGATACAGTATAGCAATGATCTTGTAAATAGTTGCAGAAAATAGTTCTACACTAAAACACAATAACCCTAAGACATAAAGTTGAGTAAAAATGTGTATTTTGTAATGTTATTACATATCGAGATGGTATAGCGTTAAGCGTGTTAGCATTTAATACACTTGTTTTCTGCGTCTTATAAACAGTTATTCATAAATGAATGGAACTTTAATATTAGCTTGAGTTTCAAAGGGCTTGGGTTGTTTGTATATTATGACATTCAGCCTAATGGTGATTGCTATAGCACCATTGTTACATTATGTTGGTTTCAGCTAAATATTCTACATGAAATATTATACATTTTGTTTTCATATTCACTTATATCCATCTTCTGAATAAGACAATTATCGTCATTGGCAAATGTCTCGCATCCTAGTATTCCATCATTCGCAGAGGACGTTGATAAATCGCTACCTATTTTGGGATCTTTCGGTGGATTCTTAAGGCAAAAGAGTTGTCTATGTTTAACTACATCTCATTCAAATATAAAGCTATTAAATAAGACAAATTTACCTTCTGGATTTTGTAGTTGCTCCTTCAGCTCTGAAAATCTGTCCTCAGCGTCAGGCAGGTCCATTTTGTTCACCACCAGTAGAGCAGGCTTCAACACAAGCTCCTCTTTGAACAACTCCAACTCCTTGAGTCCGTGGTGAGAGAGGAGGAGAGGAGATAAAGAAATATTTATGGCATGAGATGGATGGATGAGGCGTCAAGTGAAAGAGAGGAAAGGTAAAAAAAGATCTAAAGATGTATGCAACTCTTTATTTACAATAAGAGCTTTATTAGAAAGACTTTAGGATATATTTTTGAACAAAAGTCGTATCATCAGTCTCACCTTGGTTAGAAGTTGAATGGCTTCAAAGGCCGACCTAAACGGTGTTTTACTTGCCAGCTGGAACCCGGAAACATCCACCTGCAGCCAGAAAAAAGAAAGAATCGGGTTATTCTGACCACATTTGAGGCGGGTTGCATGTTTTCCTCAAATCGTATACACATGTAGTTTTCAACTTATGACT